AGGTAAACTCAGCTAAGCTAAGCTAAACTAAGCTAGGCTAGGCTGAGCTGAGCTGAGCTAAGCTAAGCTCAGCTAAACTAAGATGAGAGACGTTAAGCTAAGCTAAGCTAAGCTAGGCTAGGGAAAGCTAAGCTAAGCTAAGCTAGGCTAAGCTAAGCTAAGATAAGCTAAGCTAAGCTAAGCTAAGCTAAGCTAAGCTAAGCTAAGCTAAGCTAAGCTAAGCTAAGCTAAGCTAAGCTAAGCTAATCTAAGCTAAGCTAAAGCTAAGCGAAGCTAAGCTCAGGGTAAGTTAAGCTAAGCTAAGCTGGGCTAGGCAAAGCTAAGCTAAGCTAAGCTGAGCTGAGCTAAGCTAAGCTAAGCTAGGCTAGGCTAGGCAAAGCTAAGCTAAGCTAAGCTAGGCTAGGCTAGGCTAGGCAAAGCTAAGCTAAGCTAAGCTAAGCTAAGCTAAGCTAAGCTAAGCTAAGCTAAGCTAAGCTAAGCTAAGCTAAGCTAAGCTAAGCTAAGCTAAGCTAAGCTAAGCTAAGCTAAGCTAAAGCTAAGCGAAGCTAAGCTCAGGGTAAGTTAAGCTAAGCTAAGCTCGGGGAACCCAGGGGGCGCAACTGGGGGAACCAGGGGGGCGCAACCGGGGGAACCGCCCGGGGTGGGTGTCATTGCCCGCCCCCTTTAGCCAAGAAAGTAAGAACCCTTCTAGGCAGAGCCTAGGTAGGGAAAAACTCAAGGGGAATCGCTAATTTCTGCCTCTGTGGGCCCTCTTGGGGGGTCTCTTGGAGGCCTCTTGGGCAGTCTTGGAGGCGTTTTGGGGCGTCTGGAGGCCATCTTTGGCGTCTTGGTTCGCTCTTGGACCGTCTCGGTCCATGTTGAGCTCTCTTGGAGGCCACTTGGAGCGCTCCTGGAGCGCTCTTGGGAGCCTGCTGGGACCTGGTCGGGACCTGGCCGGGACCTGCCCGGGACCTGGCCGGACCTGGACCTTGCCGGTACCTTGCCGGGGTGCTTTCCGTCCAGGGACCCCCACGCGCCGGGGTACTTTCCGTCCAGGCACCTTGCGCACGCGCGAACTGTAGAACTGTTGTTAACCAGTTATTGGAGATCTTAGCATGCCCTTGGCCCGTTGGGCCGGCGAGCAGCGCTATGTGTTCTGTATCTCTCAACGGGCGTCATAGCGGACCTGGACCCCCTCAAGGGGTACCATCGTGTTATGCGCAGTATGAAAAAGGGGAGCTGCGTACTTCGGGAGAGGAGGTGGCGGATCAGCGGTATGATGAGCAGGAGGACGAGGAGGAGGAGGGACGAGGACGAGGACGTACAGCAGCAGCAGCAGGACAAGAAGCTGGAGGAGCAGTATAGGAGCAGGAGGACCAGGGGGAGGCGGAGGAGGGTAAAGGAGCGGGGCGCCAACGTTGAGGAAGGACTCGGATGCAGACGTGTTGTCCGCTCTGTGGCGAGAGCGCCATCCCGAACGATGGGAGCAAAGCGTCGATCTAAAAAGTACGCCCACGCTGCAGCGGGACGACCGTACGACCATTTTGAAACACAGACGTTCATATTGAGCACAACATTATGAAACAGCAAAGCTTGAAATCCAGAGTGTGGAATTCAATTCGCGGAGAGAGCGGGATACTTTCAGGACGTACCCGGGGGAGAGAACATCATATTTTTTGTATCGGGTCAGTGAAGGAGGAAAGTAAAGGAAGGATGCGAGTAGTGGAGGAAGAAAGAGGAGGACAGAGAAGGATGAGGATGAGGATGAGGAGGAGAAGGAGGAGAAGGAGGAGGATAGCAGGAAAAGGAAGAGGAGGAGGATGTTGAGGAGGAGAAGGGGGAGGAGAAGGGCAGCAGAGGAATGACAAGGATAGAGAAGGAGGAAGCATGGGAAGGAGGGGAGAGCGTCGGTGTGGGAGGGACGGGGCGGAGACAGGCAGGGGTGGGGGACAGTGGATGGAGGGTTCCTTCTTTCTTCTCAGCTCGCCTCCCCACTCCCTCCCCTTAGCTCGCCTCGCCTCGCCTCCTCGCCTCCTCTTCCTCCTCCTCCTCCACCTCCTCCTCCTATTTCTCCTCTTTCCTCCTCTTCCTCCTCCCTTCCTCCCTTCCTCCTGCTCCTCCTCCTCCTCCTCCTCCTCCTCCTCCTCCTCCTCCTCCTCATCCTTCTCTTCCTCCTCCTGCTCCTCCTCCTCCTCCTCCTCCTCCTCCTCCTCCTCCTCCTCCCCTCTCCTCCCCCTCGCCTTGCCGCGCCGCGGGCCTGGGCGGCTGGCTCCGAAGCGCAGAGCCGGCCGCCGACGCTGAGCGCCCCCGCGCAGAAAGAGGGCGCCCCACTTGCCACTCGCCGCCGTCGCCGTCGCCGTCGCCGTCGTCGTCGTCGCCGTCGCCGCCGCCGCCGAGCAGGGTACAGACGGCCAGGACTTCAGCGTCGCCCAGAGGCCGTGTGATGATGATGTCGTTGCCGCCGCCGCCGCCGTCGTTGTCGCCGCCGCCGCCGTCGTCGTCGTCGTTCGTCGGTCGTCGTTCGTCGTTCGTCGTTCGTCGTCCGTCGTTCGTCGTTCGTCGTCATTGGACACGGATGGTGCTGGTGATGGCGATGCTGCTGACAATGACAGTAGGCATGGAGAAGATGCTGCTGATGGTGATGTTGACGATGAAGTTGATGATGCTGACGATGGCGATGGCGATGGCGGTGACGATGACGATAATGATGATGATGATGATGATGATGATGATGATGATGATGATGATGATGATGATGATGATGATGATGATGATGATGATGATGATGATGATGATGATGGTGATGATGAGGGCGCCCCACTCGCCACAGCCGCCGTCGGCATCGGCGTCGCCGCCGTCGGCATCGCCGTCGCCGTCGCCGTCGCCGTCGTCGTCGTCGTCGTCGTTGCCGCCTCCGCCGCCACCGTCGTTGTCGCCGCCGCCGCCGCTGCCGCCGCCGTCGTCGTCGTCGTCGTCGTCGTCGTCGTCGTTTGTCCATCGTGATCTGTCGTTCGTCGTCATTGGATACCAATGGTGCTGGTGATGGCGATGCTGCTGACAATGACAGTAGGCATGGTGATGATGCTGCTGATGGTGATGTTGACGATGAAGTTGATGATGCTGACGATGGCGATGACGATGACGATGACGATGACGGGGATGCTGATGATGACGATGCTGATGGTGATGATGAGGGCGCCCCACTCGCCACCGCCGCCGTCGGCATCGGCGTCGCCGCCGTCGGCATCGCCGTCGCCGTCGCCGTCGTCGTCGTCGTCGTCGCTGTCGTCGTCGTCGTCATTGGATACCGATGGTGCTGGTGATGGCGACGTTGCTGACAATGACAGTAGGCATGGCGAGGATGCTGCTGATGCTGATGCTGACGATGAAGTTGATGATGCTGACGATGGCGATGGCGATGACAATGACGATGATGATGATGACGATGATGATGGTGATGATGGTGATGGTGATGGTGATGGTGATGGTGATGATGATGATGATGATGATGATGATGATGGTGGTGGTGGTGGTGGTGATGATGATGATGATGATGGTGATGATGATGGTGGTGGTGGTGGTGGGGATGATGATTATGATGGTGATGGTGATGGTGCGGAGGAGGAGGGAGGAGGAGGAGGAGGACGAGAGGAGGAGGAGGAGGAGGAGGAGGAGGAGACTGAGGATGGGCACGATGAGGAGTAGGAGGAGGAGGAGGAGCAGGTGGAGGAATAATGGAGGAGGAGGAGGAATAGGATGGGGGAAAGGTGCAGAACGATACATACAAGCCACAGCGACGGTCGGACGAGGAGGGTTCCAAGTCACATCGTAGCAGTGAGCATTTCACAATAGGCGAGAAGTCGCATGACAAAGATGACGACGAAAAGGATCATGCTAAAGGTGACGATTCTGATGATAACGACGGCGCTTGATATTATCACTACAGATATTGCGATAGTGACGCTGACGACGAGGATGGCGACGATGATGATTATGATGATTCTAAGTATGATGATGATGATGGTGTTGATCATGCTGATGAAATTGATGACGATGGTGGTGGTGATGATGCTGATGACGATGCTGATGATGCTGGTGATGATGATGCTGATGGTTATGCTGCTGATGCTGATGATGCTGCTGCTGATGATGATGACGATGACGCTGACGACGACGACGATGATGATGATGATGATGATGATGATGATGATGATGATACTGGGGATGCTGATGGTGATGATGATGATGCTGATGATGATGATGATGATGATGATGGTACTGATGATGATGATGGTGAGGATGATGATGATGCTACTTATGATCCTGAGGATGATGCCAGTGATGAAGATGATGTTGATGAGGATGAGGATGATGATGATGATGATGATGATGATGATGATGATCGTGATGATGCTGCTGCTGCTGATGATGATGATGATGATGCTGCTGATGGGCGGTGGGGATGCCGATGACGATGCTGTCGACGACGGTAGTGCTGCGTCTGCTGATGATGATGAATCTGGTGGTCATGATACTGATGATGATGATGATGCTGGTGCTGGTGCTGATGCTGATGATGGTGATAGATGATGATGCTGATCATGATGATGATGTTGATGATGATGTCGATGGTGATGCGGACAATGTTGTTGGTGATGATGATGCTTATCAACATGATGATGGTTATGATGATGCTGATGAAGATGATGGTGATGCTGATGCTGCTGATGATGATGCTGATGATGGTGATGCGGTGGTCATAGCGAGGTCAATGCTGCTGCTGACGTCGGCGAGGAGGATAATGAAGATAATGATGATGCTGCTGCTTCTGCTGCTGATGCCGATGATGATGATGCTGATGCTGATGATGATGCTGCTGATGCTGATGATGCTTGTGAGGATTGTGATGATGATGCTGATGATGATGGTGGTGGTGATGATGGTGATGCTGATGATGATGATGATGATGATGAGGAGGAGGAGGAGGAGGGGGAGGAGGAGGAGGGGGACTAGAGTAAGTTCAAGATGTGCGAGCGATGCTGCAATACCTCCTCCTGTCCCAAGTCCATTATTAGCCCCTGCAAACACTTTTCGAGACGCTTCGCGTTGAACGTCCGCCCATTCCAGTTCTCAAGAAGATTCGAATACGTCTCCAAGGCAGGACGGCAATACCTGGAACATAGTTAAGGACGGCCCCGCAGGTATGTTTTATATTCCTTGTTGCGCTCCAATTCTCCTCGATCCCATCGCCGATTGGATTCGCGTGGCTGATTGATGATGACGTTGCCGTTTCGTCGTCGGCGGATCGGTCTTCTGGACGCTGGCTCTCTGGACCTTTGCTCCTTCTTCACAGCAGGAGGCCAAAAGCCTTCTTCTCCTTCTCCTCCTCCCCGCTCATCCTCCCCACTCCTCCTCCTCCTCCTCCTCCTCCTCCTCCCTCCTCCTCCTCCTCCTCGCCTTCTCCTCCTCCTCCTCCTTCTCCCCTCCTCCTTCTCCTCCTCCTCCTCGTCCTTGTCCTCGTCCTCCTCGTCCTCGTCCTCCTCCTCCTCCTCCATCCTCCTCCTCCTGCTCCTCCTCCTCCTCCTCCTTCTCCTCCTCCTCCTCCTCCTCCTCCTCCTCCTCCTCCTCCTCCTCCTCCTCCCCAACATTAGCCCAGCGCGGCTTGCAGACGGCCCGGAAGCTGCCAACGGGCCGAAAGGGGGGCCCCGAAACGGGCACCAAATGGGGGGCCGAGAGGAGCCAGCGGCGGCCCCCCCCCGGCGGGCCTCCCGGACGGCCCGCGCACGAGCACTCCCTCGCTGGGCCGCGGCCCAGTCCGAAATTCCTCCTCCTCCTCCTCCTCCTCCTCCTCCTCCTCCTCCTCCCCTCCCCCTCCTCCTCCTCCTCCTCCTCCTCCTCCTCCTCCTCCTCCTCCTCCTCCTCCTCCTCCTCCTCCTCCTCCTCCCCCTCCTACTCCTCCTCTCCTCCTCCTCCTCCTCCTCCTCCTCCTCCTCCTCCTCCTCCTCCTCCTCCTCCTCCTCCTCCTCCTCCTCCTCCCCCTCCTTCCCTCCCTCCCTCCCTCCCTCCCTCCCTCCCTCCCTCCCTCCCTCCTCCCTCCCTCCCTCCCTCCCTCCCTCCTCACCTCCGCCCTCGTGGGGCCGCGGCCCCGTCCGAACCTCCCCTTTTTCAGCTGGGTCAGAGTCCCAGACCCCCTCGAGCCATGAAAAAGTCATGACGGGAGGCTTTTCCTACTTTTCGGCCTCCGGGGGCCCTCGCCAGGCCTCGGGAGCGTCAAGAAACGACTCGCAGCTGGGTCAGAATCCCAGACCCCCTCGAGCCATGAGAAAATCATGACGGGAGGCTTTTCCTACTTTTCGGCCTCCGGGGGCCCTCGCCAGGCCTCGGGAGCGTCAAGGAACGACTCGGGAGGCAAAGCCGGTCATGGGGAAAGGGTCGGGACCTCTGGGGGTCGACGTCATGAAAAAATCGTTACGTCGGGGTTCTGGGTTTCAACTGTCGCAGGCCTAGAGGTTGACACCAACACCAATATCTTCGGTGTGCCTCCACCGAGGGAAGACGATCCCGATCTCGGTGATGGTGGTAATAATTCTGGCCTCCAAGGTGGCCGAAATATTACCACCATCACCGAAATCTAGGATCGTCTTCCCCCCTGTGAAGGCACCCCCCTGTGTTGGTGCTGGTGCCCATGTCCAGGCCTCCACAACCGGGCCAGCATCGGGGCCAGTGTGGGCTTCGCTTCGGGGCCCACGCTGGGCCCAGAGAATCGTCCAGCGTCGATGTCGGGGCGCGCCCGAGCATGGCATCGCAAGCTGCACGCTGCAAAGAGCCTCCGACGAGGCGGAAAGGGAGCCAGACTCGGCACCCGGGCGACCCACGGCGAGGCCGAAATCGTCAGAGGCCTGTGGGGCTTGCTGTGTTTAGAAGTGCCCAGGTTGTGGGCGACGTTGGGCCCAAGAGCCGCTCCGAGGTGCCCGAGGCGTCGGCCTTGGAGGCCGAGATGGGGGCCCGACGGGGCCACAACGGAGCCGAAACGGTACCTGGAAGCGTGCTGGCAACGGTCTGCAGTTCGAGCTCGTCTTGGACGCCGTCCGGAAGCCAGGCGGCGGAATACCGGAGGCCCCTGGGGTGGATAGGGGGGGGCTAATGTCCTGTAAGAAGAGGGGTCAAAGTTAAATCTCACACGCCCCTCAGCCCGGCGGGCCAGCGGACTCAAGAGCTCGTACGCCATTCGGTCGACCCCAAGAAGAGGATGTATGCGGCTTCCGGTTTCGTATGCTTCTTGACGCTTCCCATCGTGCTGCCAGCCTCCACGTCTATTGCGAGACTTCGTGGGGGCTCTGTGGAGGCCTCGGA